ACCTCCTTTAATAAAGAGCACTTCTTGCAGAGGATCACGGCCACCCCTGTGTCTTACTCTCTGCTTACGCCACAATATGTCTAAAACGTTGTAGACAACTTATTTCCTATGAAATCAAGGGGATTAATAGGGGATTTTTGCTGCAATAACAGCCTCTACTCTTCTGGGAACGCTTTACATTAGATGTTGGAGCAATGCTGTGAGGATTTGATTGCATTCAGCCAGAAGAGCATTAGTGAGGTCAGGTATCAATGTTGGATGGATCACTGCGACTCACTACAACTGATGGATCTATCACTCCAGAGAACACAGCTCCACTTGGCATTGTGACCTTATGCTCATGTATGGCCTCTCCAGAGCATCCCATTGTATTAACAATGCTTTTCTATGGAGATTATACAACCAGTGTGTGTGACTGGTCACTGAATTCACTAGGTGTCTGAATACTTTTGAACATACAGTGCAATTTTTAGCTCCCAATATCTTCAGTCCTTTTCTGAAGGCCTAGAAGGCCCCAAAGGTTCTGCTCTGAATAAGACTGGCATTAGAACCCTGGACAAAGCTATATTTCTTTTACGGACGTGGAATGAGAATGAGTTCAGTATGCAGCATCTGTGGTGCCACGTAGTGAATTTTTTTATCACGCATGCTTTCACGAACATTTTAACAATGTTTTAAATAAACGAAATACATCTAAAAGTACTTCAGAAAACTGAAATGAATGTGCACGAACAGGATTCCCACAGCAGACCCAAAGTAGCAGAATCCAAGGCTTTAAGACTTAACAAAGTTTAATTGGGCTAGTGAACTCTCGTCAGCTTGTCAGCCATGTCTCACTTCAGTGTGAGTGGATCAGCTCTCTCTCTTGGGCCTCCCAACTCCCAGCTCACAAAAACAAGACCGAACTTTCTTAAGGCCTATTAAAACCAAAGACTTTTTCAGAAGAAAAAGAAACAACGGATGTGATTTTTAACGTAGAGGAACCTTCACATATAGTTTGATGTGGTTTTTTAAACACTTGAAAAATGGGGAAAGACGGAAGAGGAAAAAGAAATGCATTCCTTGAGTAGCAGCAGTGGTGTAGGTGTTCAACACTGGGGGGGGGTTGTTCACACTGCTCATAAACCCCCCCCCACCCACCCATAAAATGATAAGCTATGCTAAATATGATAATTCAACATCAAAAAACATTTTTACCTTGAAAATGTATACAGATTCAACAAATGCTCATTTTTTACTGTCAGTGTAAATCCCTCAAAGGTACGACAGCACTTTTAAGATCCAATTTTGTACCTTAAATAAGTCTTTCTTTGTGGAAAAGTATGTATTTCATAATCTAATGTTTTAAAACAGAGCAGTAAAATAAAAGCCTGGAGACAAGACGAGGTGTGTGGAGTCAGTACAACCTAGAAAGTATATTTTTTATTAATTTGGTACAATTATGGTACAATTGTGCTCCCTGACTAAAGGTACTGATGTACCCTTGAGGGTACCACCCCAGTGACAAGAGGGGTACTCAGCTCACAATTTCCATTGTCTGAAATGTCATTAAGAAACAGCACTTAAGGGAAACTGTGAAGGTCGAGGTCAGATCTGGGAGACCAGGAAAACTCTCAGACTCCTTGTATGCTGGCCAAAAAGCACAGGACCAGCAAAAAAGTTCAGCTGACCGAGGAGTGATGGTGCACCGTTCTACTGTGCAGCATTGCTTTCACAAAACACGATGTGCATGGCACAATCATTAGAAGCAAACCTTACCTGCAACCTCATCACAAAAGTCAATGTCTGAACTATGCAAAATAACATCTAGAAAATCCAGAGGAATTTTGGAAACAAGTGATACAGACTTATGAAGTAAAGACAGACGTTTTCACTGGAGGTATGTTTGGAAAAAAAGGAGCAACATTTGATGAAAGGAACACCTTGCCAACTGTTAAGAATGGAGGTTATGTCTAGGTAATTATCTATTATGATTTGGGAGTTGTGTGGCAGTCCGTGGCACAGGAACCATTGCATGGGTAGATGGAAAAATAATTTCTACTAAATATCAGCAAATTCTGGAATCAAACATGACATAGTCAGTCAAGGAAACTAAAGCTGAAAAGAGGTCAGCTTCTATAAGAGGACAATGATCCAATGATCTTCACCAGCAACAGCAATGGAATCTTAGGTGTCATTACAAGCACTTTATTATGATAAAGTATCATAATGATAATGCAATATACTTTTATTTATTACAATATACATCTAGCTTTACTATGTAAGCTTTATCTCAGTTATCTGCTCAGTTTACATCACTTTTAAACATCTTGTCATTCCCAAACCCTCGAAATATCAAGCTAGCTCGGTCTGCTACAATGAACGCCCATGAAATATAACTGTACTGGCTATGCATTAATCATGTGCAAGGATGTAATGACGTGATGAAAAATATGATAATCTATGGATTTAAACCATACTCGACTAAAAATGTATTTTAAAATTATATTTTGCCAAATTTAACAGCCAAAACTAATCACAACACACAGTTAAAAAGAAACGAGGATGCAACAATTGGTAGTTATTGGGTGGGACAATTTGTTCAGCTCTGAACACTGGACAGAAGCTCTGATTGGTCAGCCTGATTTTAATGTATCTGCAGAAAGCAGAAAATCGAGCTGAAAGATTAATATGAAAAATTAATATGTGTCTTCTTTATTGGTCTGATAACATTGCCACTCCCACTGATCACAACCTCCCTACTGGATCCAAAAGTAAACCACAGCCTCACATTCAAAATACAGTGTTGTTGAAATTTTGAAACACTGTCCACTCACTGTCCACTCTATTAGACACACAAAAACTCCAGCAGCACTGCTGAGTCTGATCCACTTAGACCAGCACAACACACACTAACACACCACCACCATGTCAGTGTTACTGCAGTGCTGAGAATGATCCACCACCCACCTGCTCTGTGAGGGTCCATGGGGGTCCTGACCACTGAAGAACAGGGTAAAAGGGGGCTAACAAAGTATGCAGAGAAACAGATGGACTACAGTCTGTAATTGTAGAACTACAAAGTGCACCTATATAGTAAGTGGAGCTGATAAAATGGACAATGAGTGTAGAAACAAGGAGGTAGTAAGAACAACATACAGTGCCTTTCACAAATATTGGCACCCCTGGTAAACATGAGCAAAACAGTCAGTAAAAACATTCTGTATTGCTTATCATTTTGATCTTTCATTCAAAACATTAACAAAAATCTAATTTATTTGAAGTACGTTGAAAATAAAAACTATATGTTATCAGGAAATAAACATTTTTCTTAAATCTGCGTGTGCCACAGTTATTGGCACCCCTTCATTTAATACTGTGTGCAGCCTCCCTTTGCAAATATAACAGCTCTGAGTTTTCTCCTATAATGCTTAGAGACTGGAGAACAGATGGCAAGGGCTCTGAGACCACCCCTCCCTACAGAAGTTCTCCAGATCCTTTAGATTCCGAGGTTCATACTGTGGAATCTCTTCAGCTCATCCCAAAGGTTTTCTATGGGGTTTAGTTCAGGTTACTGGGGTGGCCATGGCAAAACTTTGATTCTGTGGTCAGTGAACCATTTTTGTGTTGATTTTGAGGCATGCTTTGGATCACTGTTTTGCTGGAAGATCCAAACTATGGCCCAGTTCAGGCTTCCTGACTGAGGCAGTCAGCCTTTGATTTTATTTCTGCTGTTACTCGATGGAGTCTGTGATACCAAGTATCAGAATAAACTGTCCAGGGCCTTTGGAAGAAAAACAATACTACGCCCACGTACTAGTCCCATACTTCACACGAGGGTTATCTTTGCGTGTACGCCAAACTCATCTCTGGTCTGTCTTTGATGTACATCATAGCTGTTTTCCTTGGCCCTTCTCATAGTGATGGATGACTGAGGGAATTTGGCCTGTGTTTCTTCTCATATATATTCCATGGTGAATCAGGAAGTCATGGCTGACCACTTAAGTGTTCCTAGTCACTCCATATTTTAAAACCATAAAATATGAATAGGAATATACTTCAGTTCGATTTTACTCTTAAGAGTTTGTAGGGGTGCCAAGAACCGTGGCACACATAGATTTAAGAAAAGTATTTATTTAATTCAAGATTTTCATTTTTTCTTTCAATCATTATGTGTTAAAAGTTTTTTGCTAATATTCTGAATTACAAATCAAAAGAATAAGTAATTAAGAATATTTCTTACAGCTCATTTTGCTCATGATTACCAGGTTTGCCAATATTTGTGGAGGGCACTCTATATAGTCTAAAACTACACTGAAAATCTGGGATTTTTTCATTTATATATGGGATTAAAATAAAATTTTAAAGTTGTAATGACAAACTTTAAATATAAAATATAATGTATAAAATTAGAAAGGAATGCAAAACAGAAGCATGTTTACTAATGATTATAGACCTGTATTTAACTATAACTGCAACTAATGCTTATTTATATATTTAGCTATTAGCATTGAATATTTAACACTGTACACAATATTTTATGAAAAAAAAAAAACTCCATTCTGGAGAATTAAACACTAGTATTGTGTTGTCAATCCAACTAATTAATAAGATTTGTGCCAACTATTTTTTATGAATGATGTTCCTGATTTAATTAATTAGTTGCTGCAGCACTATTGAGCACAATATGACATAAAAGGACATGGCAACATTTTAAAGAACGTAGTTATGATTTTGGTGACATAACAATTTTCCAACTTTTTGAGTTGACAAGGATCAAGAACAGATCATATGCATGTTTGGATGGTTCTCGGAAACTCGGGAATTTCCACGTTTACAAAAAGAGAATGAACACGAATAGCCAGCACAATCTCTGATACCATGTGAACACAGATGCTGCTCTGAAATGATGACACTACAATTTTCCAGCAATTTACGAGCTGACAAGGACCGTCAAAGCACACCAGAAGGACTGTAAGAAAGACAGCTGGTCATGTTGAAAGTGCACCTCTGGTACTCACAGCACAAAACCTTGATACAGATGGCGTGCAGCTTGTTTTCGGCACGGATGAGGGTTCGCATGCCGATGACAAAGAGGTTCCCGAAGCAGGTGATGAAGGCCATCACCCACACGGACACGCGCAGGATCACACTCGCCAGCAGGTCCTCGAAGGAAGAGAGGCCATCGGAGTTGGGCTTGCACTTCCGCACATGTGGCGCATATGAGCAGTACTGGAACTTCTTGAAGTATCTGGGAAATGTTGAAAAGACAGTTAATATTAAGTGCCTTTGGTATAATCAGCCTTTGATGACCCTCATTTATTAAAGTTGTGTAGAAACGAGTGGAGATTAGAGCAGAAATGACATCCAAAATGAAACCGTCGTACAATATATTGCACAAATAAACATCTAACAATGTGGAAATGAACACCCACGTACTAGTCCCATATTTACATATGACTTGCAAATGACATATGCACCAATTTACCTTCATATGCACATAATTTACATAAAATATAGCCTAATTCAAGCTGGTGTGAGACAACGAAAGTAATGCATTCATCATGCAATAAAATGAAAGCTTGAGCCTCTGGTTGTTCTGAACAAACCCTGCTGGTCATAGAGTTCTCTATAAAGTGCAAGTGCAGGAGATTTTTAGCACTTGCACCTCTTTAGGATTGTGTGTCGTGTGCATTTCTATATTTATTTTTTTATTTCTCAGTGAAAAAAAAGTAAAAATAATCTGCATTTACAAATGTCATGTTGACAGTGTGCTAGAACAGTTGTTCTAGTATATTTTTCTGGTCCTGGATAGTCAGTGTTCCACATATTTTAGTGTTATCCCTGCTTTCAACACACCTGATTGAGTATCAGCTAATTAACAAGCCCTTCATGAGTTGAAATGGGTGTATTAAAGAAAAGAAAACACTAAAATGTGCAAAGCAAGGGGGCTGCAGGGCCAGGAGTGGGGAAATCTGAATAAGACAAATCAGCCTTACATCAAAAGAACAAAGAAATTACTTCTGTTTTTTTTTTGAAAACAAAAAAATGCATTGTGTTAAAATGTCATGATAAATGGACCAATAAAAATGGTCCAAAATATGTATATGTAGCCACTTTAGATGTTTAAAGAATCCTATTTTAAATTGCCCTTGAGTTGCATAATGTAAAGCAACTCATTTGAAACTCAGCCGCAACAATTGACAGCGTCTCAATTTTGTTTCATGAAACAGCCAATCAAAATGGTGATAACACATCACATGTTAATGTTGAAATGAATTATGTAATTTCAAACGACTGATTTCACAGAATCAGTGCACAAGAACATAAAACGGAAAATGGTTTACTGGAGGGTTGAAAAGGAGATCTTATTGGTTGGCTTTGCATTTTGTCAGTTATCCAAGCCATGACGACAAATGTGTTTCTCAAACCTGATTTCCATTACCAACTGGTTTCACCAGTCAGCTAACAGCTAGCAGCTGTTTAAAGAGCTGTTTGTTTCACCTTTTACTCTTTTTAAGCCCGACATTATTGCAAACCCAAGAGACCGTCAGTCCCTTCCATTCTTATGTCTCCCGACAACAAACTGGACTAAGATACCTCAGATTACAACTGTGAGAGGTGATCGTGGGACTTCACTGACTCAGACATACAGCTAAACAGGCTAGCATTAGCATGCTATATGTGCTTGTATGGGGCACACTTGTATAAAGATTATGATAAAACTCATAACTTAGGAAGAATTTCAACTGTCCAGTACTCCTGCTACCTAATCCTTTACAGTCCTATGCAAAAGTTGGAACACCCCAGTTAAAATTCTATTTTGTTGAACAAATCCTCCACAGGGATGTGGAGGATAAATATCTTAAATATGGCCAAAAGGATACAGGGATACAAGTTTTTCCCATTATGTTAAATTTTGCATTAAAATGAACAGAACAATGTTCTTTGTAGAGGACGTCAACTTATTTTTCACTTATTTTGCCCACGACTGTATACACTATAATACTTTTCATATTAAGCCCACAAAACAAGACTTTTCTGATAACACCAACATTATGGTTCAGTCTGATTTGTTCTTCAGATGTCAGTTATCCACCCAGGAGTCTGCAGTCTTTCTGGTTTGATTTAATAGGCTACCAAATCTACCAATTTATTAGGGAACAAGAATTCTTGTGCATGCAATGTTCATCACTAGTTCTACATTTATTGTTATAACTAACATCATATCACTATCATAGATGATATTAATAATAAATTCCTAACAGAGAGGTTTTTAAGTTGTTACAAAATTATGCTCATATACACATGAGTACATATACGCCAAATCTAAACTGATGACAAAATTGTTGGTGAAATTTAAGTTAAACTTAAAATGTAATTGTATGCAACTTTAATGAATAAGGGCCATTGTGTCTGTACGGCTTACACTGGACTTAAATGCAGTGCTGTTGACCCCATTTACATCTGGTTGTTTCATGCAATACTTTGCGAATTGTAGATCCTAATACTGAAGCCACATGAACAGATCAGGTGTAAATGCAGCAAAGTCATCACATACAGTACTAGTAAAAGTTTGGAAACATCTGACTGAATGATTGTTTTTCATAATCTCTATTAAAGACATTTACATTACTGAAGGATAAAAGTGAGAAACCAACTATTACTCATTTTTGTCACTATAAAAAAAAAGTATCTCCATTTTTTGTGACTTTTCTGCGTAATTTGAGCTCAGAAGATGCGCTTTACATTGTGTGTAGATTTCATGATGAATGGACCAACAGAAATGCTCCAAAATTGCATGAAATAAAATCTCTTTACTCTCTTCTGGAGCTACTTATTTTTCTTTGGACAGTGACAATATATTTAAAAAAAAAACTTTCAGTAACTAAACATAAAGTCAATTTTTTTGCAATATTTTGTGTGTAGTTTTCTTTCAGATCTTAAGCAAAAGTGGAGTTTTTTTTCAGTTTTGGACTGGAAATTAGGTTAAAATATGATCTTTTTGAACCTTTCCAAACTGGCTTTTGTACAATGCATAGCACTGAGACAGCACTTTCACGAGTTCTTAATGATCTCCTCCTGTCTACGGATTCCGGTGCCATCATTATTCTGCTCCTCTTAGATCTAAGTGCTGCATTTGAAACCATTAATCATGACATACTCACCTCCTGCCTTTCAGCTATTGGCATTACTGACACTGCCTTTGCCTGGTTCAGATTCTATACCACTAATAGACATCACTTTGTTGCCTTTGGTAAACATAACTCTGCTATCAGTGCTGTTACACAAGGCGTCCCCCAGGGGTTAGTCCGTGGCCCTCTATGTATCATCTATATTTTACCCCTCAGTCAGATTATCGACTGTCATGGACTTTGTTTTCACTGTTATGCTGATGACATTCAGATCTACGTCTTCACCAACACCAACGCTAACCTGCCACCCCCCTGCACATCTTGTGCTCAAGATCTCAGACAATGGATGCAGAGTAACTTTCTAAAACTAAACACTGATAAAACTGGAGTTCTACTCATTGGCCTTAAGTCTGTCATTGCAAATTCCACTGACTTAAAGTTAAACTTGGACGGTGTGACTGTAAGACCTTCAACTGCAGCATCATACATCCCTCCGGCTCCAAATCACCCAAGGACTCCATTTCCCAGAACCCCTGGGAGATCACGTGACTGTAGAACCTACGCAATCCACCAATCACTGCTCTCAATCACTTGAATACTGATCTGTTACACCAGCTCTGTTTGTCATATGACTAGTCCTAGTTTAGTTTATAAGCCTGGGCTTTAGACTACATTCTTTGCGAGGTACTGTATCTCACTGTAGAGCATTTTCTGTGGGCTATTTTGTCTCATTGTGAACTTGTCTGTGTTTCTGGACTGTCTAACTTTGCCTTTTTTTTGCCTGATCACATCTTTCTGTATTTTGTCTTTTTTGGATTTGACCTACGTCTGTTTACCGACTACGAGTATTGTCAAAACCCTTTACAAGTAAAGCCTCATTTCTTGGTTTTACCACAAGCATCTGGCTGGTTCTGTCACGTTACATGCAGTCTGTAACCTAAGTGTACTTTTTGATTCTGTCCTTTCATTCAAACGTTATCATAAGGCTTTGTTAAAAAAACAGCTTTTTTCCATCTCCGCAATGCTGCTCATCTTCACCCCCTTGCTCTCCATGAAAACACAAGCTTTTATATCACCCTGCTTAGACTACTGCAACTCCCTTACAAAACTATCTGCCCTCTTCAGTGTTTACAAAACTCAGCTGCTGGAATCCTCTCTCACTCTAAAAGATCAGCTAATATCACCACAATTCTATATCAGTTCCACTGATTACCTGTCCTGCTTTGTATACAGTTTAAAGTCCTCCTGCTAAACTCTGCATGGTCTGGCCCCAGCTTATTTAGCTGATCTCCTGGACCGTTACTGCCCTGACCAAACAATAACAATTATTATTATTATTATTATTATTATTATTATTATAACTAAATAAAAGGTGACAGGTGCTCTCTGACCTTTGCACAGCACTGTATAAATAGTGAAGGTGATGCCTTTGTATAAATACAGGGAGATACACTCAAAAGAGGCCCAGAATATTCTGTAATAACTCTCTCTAGGACGAAGCAATCTGAACGAAACAATGTGCAATGTGCCCCTCTGTATCTCTGAGCTTCGAACAAGCCAGGATGCCCCTGCGTAAGAGCAATGAGGTAGGCGCCGGACTGCCGTTGCGACGTTTAACCTCTCTAATGCTTGCTGATATGTTCAGGAACATGGAGCGCCGCATCGAAATGTGTCTGGCAGAAAATGGAAATCACTTCCAGCATTGCATGTAGTGCAATCGATTACACATACGTCAAGGTATGTCGTGTATTTTTTGCTTCAGATTGCTTCATCCTAACGGGAGTTACAACAGAATATTCGGGGCCTCTTTTGAGTGCATCTTCCTTGATTAATTGTAAAAAACTGTATTTTTATCCAGCCCGTGTAAAGCTTCTTCAGGCCTGTTGGGAAAAGATCTTAGATGGTTACTCATAAAAGTGCTTAGAAGAAGAGTGTGTAAAGCTGCATCAGAAGAAATGAACATAATTTGACTTGTTGAACACTTTTTGGGTCATTGCATAATTCTTTATGGGTTATTTCTTGATGTTGATGTCTTCACTTTTATTCTATTTTATTCGTTTATTCTAAAGTGAGGAAAATAGTAAGAATAAGGAAACTCGTCTTTCAAACTTTTAGGTGTCTAAACTTTGGCCTACACTCTTAAAACAGATGTGTTAAAAAATCATCACGTTCTGTCTCTAACTAGACTCATCAGTGTGCTCAGCTGGAGACAATACATTTTGTGTTGCTTTGTGTTACAAAACATGTTAAAAAGTTCTGTGCCCAGTAAAAGATAACACATTTTCTACAAAGAATGTGTTACATCAGGCAACAACACGACACAAAAAGTGTTACAACAGGCAACACAAGTGTGTTGTTAATTAACAATCATTTTTTTAGAGTGCAGTACTGCAAATTATAAAAAAAAATAAAAAAGTTGTGCGTAATATTGTAAGAGACGTCTAAGTACTAATGAGGCAGTGTCATTTTGTACCAACAGAGGACTTGTCGAGATTAGAAAAAGCAGAATCAGATATCTACATGTAGGAGAGGTTCTTCATAGGCTGGAACATGCGAGTTTGGATGTCTGGGATTTCCACACCCTCCAGGCCCCTGTGGAAGAGAGCAGAGTGACTGTCTTTTTCACTGCCTGGCTAGCAGCTCTGAACTGCAGTGCACTATGGACTTCACTGGCACAGAGCCTGGTCACTGGCACAGAGCCTGGCCTGCTGTTTCTCTTTATTGGTCAGTCTGCCAGCACAGAGACTGAAATGGCACAAAACCATATTTCATTTTTATTTTCCGGCACTAATTACAATGTATTGAACATCTTGGAATCTCAGAAAATGGTAAATTTACAGGAGATGAAAAGAAATGTTCTTCACATCTGTTGATGCAATTTTGGACCATTTCTATTGGTCCATTCGTCATTAAATGTTCACACAGCATAAAGGGTAGCTGGCATTTTCAAATCACGTAAAAACTGGAAAGGAGATAGGAGGTTTTCTTATGATTGGGACAATATGGAGAACACTAGATGACAGTGACATCAGAAACATAGGTTGGTATGCATTCATAGCACTGTTGAATGTTCCTGATTAGAAATCAAGCTGCATTTTTAAATCTCATTAGAAAAAGAGAGGAATAGTTTACTTACAGTGACTGGAGTTGAGTGAGGGAGATCAAACTGGCTCAGATGGATGTTGTTTAGTGGGTTCTGGGACAGATTCCTGCAAATGAGAAGGTTCACAATGGATGGTGTAGTACAAAATGTGGTGCAAGAGCCAGAATCTCCACAAGCTAGACCCTGAGTAAGCAGCAGTAGCCTTAGAATAAAGTCAGCAGTATACTTCAAATGATAAAAGAGCTAAATAAAATCAGTCTAGAGCTGAACGTGCTGTTGTATATACCCTTAAAAAGAACTAGGAGCTACAGCTAGGAGCCTGCTAGAAGCCCACTTTATGTGGTGGACTAGTTGTAATTAAGGGGAGGTCACAGTAAAGAATTAATCACAGTCGGGGGTGGGGGTCTCTCAGAATGAATCATATGGTGATTAGAATCAGTTACAGTTGGTGGGAGGTCTCAGAAGAAACCATACAGTAATTACGACCAATCTCAGTCAGGGCAGGTCTCAACACAAACAACACATCACATTCGTGGGTGTGTGTGTGTGTGAGTGTGTGTGTGTGTAGGGGGGGACGGTTCTCAGAATGAACAACATGGTAATTAGGTCATTTATGATAACTATATTTTGCACAAATGGCTTGTAACACAGTGCACATCTAGTTGCTCTCTGCATTTGTGTAACTGGAAATCACAACTGGTGCGTTTGAATTCTTCCTCTGAGCTCATCAATTTTACTGTGTGTCAGGCTGTAGAATATGGTGGGTTTTCTTAATGCATAATAATTATTATAAAGACATAAATAAGTCATTAAATATATGCTATAATGTGGCAACAAATAAATAATATAAATAGTATAAAATAAATATAAATAAAATGAATACTACAGTAAGTTTTTTTTTTAATTTATTTCTGAAAAGATTATGAACTTGCATAAGGAGCATCAAAAGAAGTTTCTAGAAACACGAAGTAGAGGTCTGCGCAGGACTGTTTTTTCAGTCCTGCTCCCGCCCGCTCCCGCAGAAAATCGGAATCATTTCTCTGCTTCCGCCCGCAACCAAAACAATTTGACCCACTCCCGCCTGCACAGTCCAATATCTGACAAAGTCTATTCACAAACACATCATTCTCTGCTGAAATAACACAGGAGTCATGGTCATCAGGCTCACTGTGAAGTAACTTCACCAAACGCCATTTATTCCCAGTGAACACAGAGCAGGAATTAAACCACAGAGAGGTTATTTTTGGTGTTTTGCTGGGCAGCTGTGGCCGTCAGACTGAAGGCTCCGCCATCTGTTTGACGCCTGATTCACACATGCTGCCTCTGCGTGGCTGAAGTGAGTGAAGTAGCAGTGCGAGCGCTACAGCTGCAACGCGCTGGCCTTTCACACACACAGCGTTTGGGCTGCGGAGCAGCGAGGAAGGTACACAGACATTCCTGTTTCCAGATGGATAAATGGTCACTTCAGTAACTCTGCTCAGCAAAAATATAATTTATAAATGTACACAGTATATTTGTTTACGGTGTTCTGACTTCTGATTATGAAAAAAGTTTCAAGCCTGGTGAACCAACTGGGAAATCTGTCTGCAGCACAGAATGTTTAACTAGTATTTCATCATGAATTACATAGAAATCGCCTCTTTAAGTTTCTTCTGTTTGTCATTTATTTTCATCGGCCCCGGGTCTATTCTCTAAACACAGCGGCGCTTCAGTGCAGGCCGCATTGCACGCGCAGCCTGTGTGAAAGCGCTGACCACTAACACAGGCACCGAAATGAAAAGCAAGACTTTCCGCGTCCCTCACGCCACACAGATGCAGTATGTGAGAATTTGCATGTTGTTCACGTGATCAGTTGCTCGAGAATGACTTCATTCATTTTAACTGGTTTACTGTTATATTGTTTATACACGTTTTAGTGATCGTTCTACTTTATTTAGGCTATTCATTCATTTGTGGGATTTCTCTATATGTGTGCTCCCACCCCCTCCCACAGTCCAAAAACATGCAGTCAGGCTGATTGGACATGCTGAATTGCCCCTAGGTGTGAGTGAGTGTGTGACTGTGTATGTCTGTCTGTCTGCCCTGCGATGGACTGGCGACCTGTCCAGGGTGTATCCTGCCTTCCGCCCAATGACAGCTGGGATAGGCTCCAGCACCCCACCGCGACCCAGAAGGATAAGCGGTTTAGATGTATGTATGTATGTTCTCCCACCCGCTCCCGCCTGAAGGGATCTAATTTCCACCCGCTCCCGCCAGCAACACTGAAAATTACTCCTGCGCCGCAAGATATTGTGTCGGGTCCCGCGGGTCCTGCAGGAATCCACGGAAGTGCAGATCTCTAACATAAAGTCTTATGGACTGTAAGTAAATTTGTACTTGGGAAAAAGTGGATTGTGAGAAGCAGAAAATGTAACTAACTTTCCTTGAAAAACTGAAAATGAGTCTCCTGTAACGAACAGAAGTTGTAGTAAAGGTGGTGAACACACTAAATACTGAACACTGAAAAAAATGTGATGTTATGTTTGTAGTTCTAGAGGCTTTTGTGTAGTTGTCTGGTAAATATATGTTTTCTGCCTTTTTCCTGAGGCTGAAAAATTAATAACTTGTTCTTAATGGCCCCAGTCTAGTTCTTCTTACTGCTTGTAACTTTTCGAAGTAAGAATAAAAAACTCACAGTATCTGCAGAGACTGCAGACCCCTGAATATGTTGACGGGTAAGTCCTTTATCTGATTCCTGGAGAGGTCCCTGCAGAAACCAATGCACATACGGATCATTAAGGGAAGCCTGCTTTGGCTCGTGTATGAGCATTTCTGCAGAAAGCCAGATGTTGTGCTAGCACTTACAGCTCTCCCAGCACACGCAGCGCTTGGAAAGTGTTCTCGGGAAGAACCTTAATCCGATTAGCCCGCAGTGATCTAGGAATAAAACCAGAGTGAAAGGCTGTAAAATCATCATCTTTTAACGAGAAGCTACTTTGAGCTATTATTAACTATGCAGTCTTATGAGATACTGTATGTAGATCTACAGAGATCAGTAGCAGCATTCAGGTTGTGAAAAGCAATATGGAGGAGCTAATACTCTTTTACCGTCTCTAAAGAGAGTAGACACTGTGCTCTATCAGAACTTTTTATATTGTTTGTAATCTGGATCTGTTATCTATGAAGTAATGCACTGTCAAAAGTTTGGGGACATCGAGATTTTCAGAATATATTTATTTGTATGTTTTTGTGTCAGTCATGCATAAATTATTTGTGTATTTATCCCCCTTAAATGTAATCTTCCAGGTGTGTAAACCATCTGTCCGTCATGAAAGGGTTTCAGTATGTGCTTTTAACAATAGTTTAAAAAAAACTCAAATCATTAGGATTGGAATGAATACTAACCATTTTGGTTGCAGGTACATGTATAAAATGATTCTGTTATGATGCTACTACACCATAAACTTATAGCTTTTATGCAATTTTAAGGAAGCTGAAAAAACAAATAAATAAAAAGAATTGTTAAATGTGTCCAGAATGACAAACAAAGGCGTAAATGACCAATGAAACTGTTTAACATTGAGAATGAAGTTTTAAAATGAATATCTAGAATGCTTTATAGAATGAACTATACTACAGTACTACATTATTGTAACATAATAATACACTATGTTATCACTTTAATATTACAATACTGTAAAAAAAGAGGTTTTAACTTATAAAATTCAGTATCTGGGCTGCCTTAAAGTTATATGAACTTTAAATAATAAGCTGATAGGGCATAAACAGATTCTTATTTTATTAACTAACAATTCCAAGTTCAATCAACTCAAAATTTTAAGGCAGCCTGAACACTAACATTTTTAAAGGGTAAAGATGGTTAAAAATGGTGTCCAGCTTATAGCATTTTAACCTACACTACATAAGGTATTATTGAATAAAATAACAGCAATCCTTAGTATTTGATTACGTCCTCAGGAAGACCACGTCGCCATGTTGGTAGACCAGCAACTCTGACTGTGCTCTGATCCAGCTGGTCTCATTATTATTACTTCAGCTACAACCCTGCAGGTGGACAAAAACTAGCTGCCCAGAATTATTAAGTAAAAGATGATGATATAAATACAAGCTCCAGAAAACGCTGCTAGGAGAACATTAGCCAGGTTGGTGGACTGGGTCCGAATAGCCTGGAAAAAAAACATGCATTACTTTTAATGTAAGTCAATGGAACCGGACTTTTGGGCTGTTTCTTTTGGTCCATTCGTCACGAAATTTACACACAATGTAAAGAACAACAGGCATCTTCAAATTATGCCAAAAACTGAAAAATGACAAAAATGGAGATACAAGTTTTCTTCCAACAGCAGCAATAAGCTAATCCTAGACATGTATTATTGCTCTAAGATGTTTGATAAATAAGGGCCTTTTTCTAGTCATAATGTGTTTTAATTATAATAATACTATAATAATCATGTATTGCTTCTCATATCATCATATGATAATATCCAACAGCCATACAGAACATCTCAATTTAAGTTTATGCCCTGCATCCCCACTTTACACATACAACAATTATCAATGCTATATTATGATTAATACCACCTTTGTTAGAGATATGAAAATGTACTTTTGTGACAAAGTCTGTTCTACATCAGCCGCTATTCTCTTAAACCGTTTTTTTTTCTTCATTATTTTTTTATACTTGAGTGAGTTTAAATATAGATACTGTTTAAATATAGAAACTATTACTATGACTCAAGTGTAACTGTTGGCTTGATAACTTCCACTTTCAATTAAGGAAAAATTTTACAAAGTATTCAAATTTTCACTTTATACAGTTTCTCTACACATTTTCAGCCATCTATGACAAACATAGCCTGAAATATCATGTAAATACTTGACATGTAAAAGCATTACATTACAGTTAGAACTGTAATATTGTTAAAGTAAATTTGGTATATTTTTGTCCTTATTTTCCTGTATTAGCAGACTAAAATAACCAATATTGGATGATATACAAATATTTGGTATCAGTATCTCTACAAACTAATAGTCGAAAGCATCACCACAGATGACACACATAAGGATCTACTTTCTCTTTTATTGTTCTGGACTTGAATACAGCTCCGTCCTCCAGCGTCCAGCATTTCCTGGCACAGTATGCCTTGTTTTTGAGCTTACTTATGAGAAATGCTTGATTGCTGCTCTGAGCATCCTACTGTCCAGTGAGAGATGATGCAAAACCATGACCTGTTTTCTGCACTGGTTGCAGATAAATTACACAATTTTTCCTTAATTTAAGGTCAGAAATGTAACTTCTTGTCCAAACAAAGCCAATGTGGAGTCATAACTCATTGCTGTCCAAGGTTATGTAGCCACAACAGTGACCCCTTTTCATTTTTTATATCAGTCTCAGTGATTCATGACATAACAAACCTTATTATAAATTGCTGTTTTTTTTTGCTTCTCTATAATTAAGTTTCAGATCCATCAGAAACATAGGAAAATACTCTCTCTCTTTCTCTCTGGTTCTTCCCTCCTCCTTGAAGGCCACCATAAGCCTTATTGCACTTTCCTCCTTCCCCTCACGCTCCTTCAGTTTTCTATTATATGGCTGTTTGCCTTTTTTTGTGTTTTGCCTTTTACTCACAGCACAGTGAGCTCATCACAGGAGAGCAGGGTAGAGTAGTTCAGCTTCTGAAGCTGGTTCCCTTCAAAGTCCCTTAAAAAAATGAGAAAAAAACTTATTCATTCATAGATAAGATAAGATAAGATAAGATAAGATAAGATAACCCTTTATTAGTCCCATAACAGAGGAAATTCACAACACCACAGCAGAAAAGACACAGCAGGCACTCGAGAAAAGAACTAACAAGAAAAGAATTAACAAAGTAATAAATCTTGATATTTACTTAACAATAATCTTAATAATATAAGATAAAAAACAAACTCTATCCTTCACAGAAACTCTAAACCATTATAAATAAAAAAGTTAACCTAAATCAGAAACAATAACGCCTGTTCCTGTGTCTATATATGAGTGAAAGGTGGTATCTGGTGTCGCTGAGTTTTCTATGGGTGATTTGGGGTGGGAGGGGGAGGTGAAACAGCATATTACCGGTCAATATTATTTTTCTGACCTGCTGATGTGCACACTGTAAAACTCACTACACATCTTAATGAAATAATTAAAGTTAATACAACTTAAATACTACAGAACTCAACTCGACAATGGATTGTTCAGATAGTAACTCAGTCATTTTAAGTATGATTGTTTTTTTTCAGCATATTTTAAGTTAAGGTCACTTTATTTAAATGTATTATAGTCACTAATTTTTTTTTAAACTTGACTTTACAGGCAAATACAAACAGGCCAATAATGGGCTGTTTTTAAAGACTGTTGAAAATTTTGTGTGGCTTTATGTGATAGACAGCATAAATGTTTACATTTAAATGATTTGGACGTTCATGCTTTTTTAATAACTTTATTTTGATGATTTCAGACTCAAAGATTCCATCAAAAAGGATCTTTGAGTTGAATACATTTATTGCAATTTAGTTTAGACTCTCAGCTTTACTCGATAAATGTTTGGTCAATGCAACCTTCTCGAGTAAAATTCACATCATTCCTATTGGCTCTTAGTACCATTTATTTACATATTGGGTGTGTCTCTTCAACATCTGTGTGTTGTCGTTCTCCCCAGCCTACCTCCCCTTGTGACAGCTATATATATACTTTTGTGATGCATGCCGATCAGCACAGATCAGAAATCAGTGTTGAGAGAGCTGAGTTATGGAGTTCATCTCCACTGAGTGTGGTTTTGCTGTGGCTTAATGCTACAGAGACTACATCTGTACTCTGGACTGCACTATCAGCGTTTGGAGAGGTGGTCTGTAGTGACATTAAGGTGGACAAGACCTTGTTACAACTGTCTATGATCATTGTAATGTAATACAATACAATATGAACTTGTCAAAACAATAGCCTAGTGGTGAATTTAATTTACAATTACTTAATTATTTTGAGTTAGAACAGCTTAAACATAATTTTAATATCAACAAAACACATGGAATTAGTACAATTTACTCACATTACTTAAGTGTAAATGAGTTATTGAACTCAAAACATTTGAGGTAATCAGTTTCCACAAATCATTTGAGTCGACTTAACTCATCAGGTTTTACAGTGTAGTTACATAATCAAAAATCAGAAGCTGTTTTAGAGGCGGAGCACAAGACACTACATTTTGATGTAAGATCATGGGAAAACAAGAATTTTGTCTTTTAATCCTCTATTGCTTGATGTTGCCTCAGGTTAACAAACCATTTTCCACACTTTACAATGGCATGATGCTTATCTAATGATAATGAAATGTGAAATAATGAAGGTAGGGGTTTGAATAAACCAATAAATTGTACATGCATGATCATTTAATCTCTTGGTGGGTGTTTCTAAAACCTCTATCTGGCATGGTGCAGCCTTCAGATAACACGTTTCTGCACTGGACTATTTTTCTCATAAAAGCACATTTTCATCATTTTTCATACATCCAAAAATATGATTTACGTGTGTTGGAGTGCAAGGTTCATTTATTTTTTTAAATATTGTGTACTAATTTATTTATTTTATAAGAAACTGCTTAAATACATATGTTGCTTCTAGGCAACATATGTAATATAATGTGTATACAATATAATACAATGTCTCCTCAAAACAATGAACCCCAAATGGACCTTGAAATCCCGTTTTATGTAAGAAAAGTGAACATTTTCTAAACACTGCTTTCATACAGTGTGCAATAGAGGGTCAAATGATATGATGAATTGTGCTTAATGCAACCAGAGACCAGAGCTAACAAGGTAAAGGTCCATTTTGATTTCAGGTTCATTTTAAGAACAAAGTCTTCTTTACAATGGCACCAAAGGGAATTGGTCGGGAAGCTGAGAAAGGCAAAAGGTGAGATTTAGGACAAAAGTGATACAAAAATAAAAAACATATGAACAATAACAACAAAGACAACAAAGCAACATGAGATAAAAACAAGCGAGCCATGTTTCAGTTAAACTAATGAGGGAAACTCATTATGATCAAAAACACCAAACACAATAGGCTCATTATGTTGAACCCATTGCTCATCTGTTCATACACATGCACTATTAATGATCCAGGCAAAGTACTGGTGGTTAGATGATGCTAAGCACAAAGCACAACACTATAGGTTTGATTTATGAGGTCTCCCAGCTGTATGATCCCTGAACTATTTCTGACTCATCTGCAGGCACTGCGGTAAATTAGAGCCGGCAAAGCAGAACCCACTCTTCCAACATCATGAACACATTCACACCAGGAACAAGCGGTGTTAGATTTGTGACTAGCTTCTCCGAACCAGCACTTAAACCTGATACTTTTGGGAAAAGCCACAGTCGCTACCCGATCTGTGTCTGTGTCTTCGGCCCCATTCGCACAGTGCATGTGCACCTCTGTCATGCATGTGTAGAGAACATTATTTTTACCGGTACCACCCAATCTGTAGCACACATATGTAAGCATTGACTGTAGCTGAGCCATAACAAAACGGCCATATTCTTCAGTAGTAGTTACATGTGCATTTTGCCCTCACTTGGTAAGCTATTCTACCTGTCATCCATGAAAATGCAGAGCTTTACGGTGTCATTATCTACCTGAGCAGTCATTCTTAGCCTGTATTTGCACTACAATCACAGCAGCTTAAGCAGAACAATCTCAAGAGGCTCTATCTCAAATGGCTTCCTACACCCTATGTAGTGTGCACTACATAGATCATTATAAAATAGCTTCCACAAACAAAAAGGGAGCATTTTATATCCAAATAAAAGCCATTTATATTCAGTTAAAGCTGCACAACACCCTATCTGACTTTTAATGCACTGTTTTGGTGTAGAATCCCTGATTTCATCACCTAGGCACTGCACTAGTCAGCAAAGAGTCAGCAAACTAAATGTTATAAAGAGCCATTTTGTCCTTTCAGCAAAAAGCAATCCATCTTAGGAGCAACAACACTGTATGTCCATTTTACCATCTTGGCTGTAAATATATCTCAGTATGTGCTGATGTACCAGTATAGGATTAAAAAAACAAAAACTTGACTTACTTTGCTCTGCTTTAAGCTTTAGCTCAGCTATAGCCACTTTTCTCGCATCTCCAGCAGGAAACTTTTCAGCAAAAGTAGATCAGTTTTTGTAAAATGTCTCTTAGCGTTCAACTTTTTACGAAGCTGACGTCAGTTTCTCATTCGCGGCTTCTTGTTCGATTTTTCCTGTTCCACCTTAAATGGTGCCTGAGGTGACAGAACGTAAGTGCTGCACCCATTTAAGGTGGAACGGGAGAATTCAAACAAGCTGACTTAAGCTTTGTGAATTGTTTGTGTTTGACAGTTTCTCTCTGCAGATTAAACGTGTAATGTATAAGCTGGAGTGCACAAAGTCCATTTGTCTACAAATTATTGATGTTTGTCTTAAATCCCTCTCTTTGCCTTTTCGTTAGCAACTAGCTAAGCGAGACTGTCTGCGTTGCGACCAGCAGTCTGCCCGCCAACGTTTGGGGGTTAAAGGGTGAAATAGCAGTTATACAGTAACTACAACGTTTAAGGCCATTTATTGTTAAAACTGTTAGAACCATCAGCAGAGCTTTATTTTACTGCAAAGGAGGATTATTTTATTTTTACTTAAAAATCTTTAATTTTTTAATATTTCTGTGGAGCTGCAAGGGCAGTTAAAAAAGCCACATGTGGCTCTAGAACCGTGTGTTGCCACCCCTGATATAGAGAGTAAGGAGCCATCTGAGATTCAGCCATAGACACGCTCTCATGCTAAACCAAAATGATAGTAATTGAGCAGGTGTGTGTCTGTACCCCTCTCATCTCCCTGCGCTCGAACCTAAATGCGTTACCCATTGAAAAACACTTAAGTAGCGTTAACTAGGAAAGAGAATGAGACCACTTATACAGTGGTTTCAGCATCAAACACTCCAAGCTAATCTGCTAATACAATGTTGTAAAAAGGCATGTAGGGTACAGGTCGGTCAGCATCTTGCAGTGGACACATGCACGATAGTAGCATGTATGCAAATCAGGCAGAGGACGCAGATCAGGTAGCAACAGCCACTCCGTTCTCAGATTAGCAGATTACGCATTCATATCGACCCCTTAGCTTTTCTATTTTGACAGAGCTCTGTGTTTCATGCATGAGTGACGGAATAGCAACACGGAACTGGGGCTGTTAAAGAAAGTGGGCTGACCTTCTTCAGCCATCTGTGGAAAACTGCACCCCCTTTGCGTTGATATATAAGCATCTCTTTTAAGAGACGGGCATATATGCAGCACTGTGCTTACTTAGAACTAGATAAACTAGGCATTGGATGTAAACAGGGTTAGGAGGGTTACTTTAACAGATGACTCGTTTCTCCTTTGTTTCCCTTATTTTTCATCCATCCAAAAATATGATTTAGATCAAGTTGCTGAAGTTCATTTTTTATCGTTCAGTATCATATAAATGATTTACGGTATAAGAAATTGCTTAAATATGTGTGTTGCCTAAAAGTAACTGTGCGCCAGTGTAATGGATACAGCCAAGTTATGCAGCCATTTGAAAGAGCGCTGTAGTTGGTCAGTTCAGGATTTAGAACGATCTTTTTGATTTTTGAGTTTATTTAGGAAATCAAAATGATTTAGTTAGAGGTTGACA